ATAGCAACGGAATCAATGTCTGTATTATGTTAACCTATATTATATAGATATACAAGTTTATCATCACTAAAACAGTGACTAACAGTAATAATTATGGCCTGGCAACGTGTTAAATTAAAATTCAAGATGATTTTTATCAACTCATTTCTACAGTACATCGGTCGCATGCTTTAAATTTCATGATAAGAATAAATAAGCAGCTACGAAAATGGATTGATATTTTACATCATCTCTGCCACTATATCAAAAATTCACTTTAATCTAGCAATAATAAATATGATATATACTGTCATTAATTAATGCAGGGATCGAGACATGTTTTACACATCTTTGCTCATTTCCATTATCCACTAATTTGATAGCCGTCCATATTATTCCAAGTTTTCATTACAGAGTTTAATAGCATCAAATTTAGATATTACAATCTTATCGTGCAAGTAAACCTGGCGCTTATTTATTAAATATTCGATGGGCTGATGATCATATACCTGGTAGTCCATTTAAAATTAATGTTGAACAAGGTGGTGCTAATAAAATCCAGACTTATGGCCAAGGTTTACGCGAAGGTAATTTAGGTGATCCTGTCCAATTTACAGTCAACACGATCGAAGCTGGTCCTGGTAAATTAAAAGTCCAGGTAGTTGGGCCACAGACCGATGCTGATTATGAGATTGTCGATCAAAAGGATGGTAGCTATCTCATTCAATATTTTCCCAACGAAACTGGTAAACATAAAGTATTTGTTTCCTATAACGATCAGCCCATTCAAGGTAGTCCATTTACATCTCGTATTACGCGTCCACCCAATGCGGGTAAAGTAAGTGCAGAAGGACCTGGACTTTGTAGCGATATTCTGGATGGATTCAATGGCAATTTTGTTGTCGATACACGCACTGCTGGAGAAGGAATATTAAGAGTGCGCATTTATGGACCTAAAGGAGGCTTTGCAGTTTATATGTCACGTAATCCTGAAATGGAGCGTTTAATCGATGTCCGATATAATCCTACGGAAATTGGCCATTATAAAATTGATATAAAATGGTCGGATGTTCATATCCCTGGTAGTCCATTCGATATTTGGATAGTAAGCTCACCAGAAGAATTGAAGAAAATTCAAATGTACGAAAACACTGAAGGTTGGGTTAAATATGTTTAATTCAGCATAGTCGTTGCTGTTGGAAGTAAATATCAACCAATATTTCAAGTTAAAAAGTTAATGAAGCGATAAGAAAAGATTGAAATAATCTTAACGTTTATTTCTTGAAATTATCACTTGAATAGATATCATTGCAAGTGCAATGATAATGTAATAACAACTACCTTAAATATTTTTAACATATCCATTATACTTATATATGGATATTAGTAAATTCAAATGCTTGTATTTCGTTGAAGATGGATATTGTTACCAACCTTTGTCGGTAACAAGCATCCATTTATGTGATAATGAAGTTTGTCAATCTGCTTATCATGTACTATACTTGTGTATGGTTATTCTCGTTTTAAATTTCTTGAATGCAATGACTAAATGATATAA